GTTTGTTGCAGCCCCTACATGTTCCTAATCAAGCCTGGGAAATCATTACTATGGATTTCATTGAAGGATTGCCTACTTCCTTCAAGAAAAACTGTATTTTGGTCATTGTGGATAAATTTACCAAATACAACCATTTTCTACCTTTATCTCATCCTTATTTTGCAGCAGAGGTTGCTAAGCTCTACCTTGACAGTGTGTATAAACTACATGGTCAGCCTAAGATGGCCATTTCTGACAGAGATAAGACCTTTACTAGTTTGTTTTGGAAAAAAATTGATGAAACAATTGGGTACAAGAACATTGTTCAGCACTGCTTATCATCCTGAAACGAATGGACAAACAGAGAGGGTCAACCAGTGTTTAAAACAGTATTTGCGAGGCATTTGTTTTTATCAGCCTAGATGTTGGGCTAAATGGTTACCTCAGGCAGAGTGGTGGTACAACACCACTTACCATACAACTTTAAAATTAACTCCTTTTCAGGCTTTATATGGGTACAAACCACCTATTATGGTTTGGCCAACTGATACTACAGTTCAGTCAGTTAGTGAAATTATGTTTAACAGGGAGCATATAAGGCAATTAGTCAAGCATAAACTAGAATTGGCCAGTAACAGAATGAAGCAACAGGCTGATAAAAACAGAACAGAAAAGATTTTTCAAATTGGAGAATTGGTGTACCTGAAGTTACAGCCTATAGACAATCTTCGATTGCCCTGCGTAAAAATATTAAGTTAGCAGCAAAATATTTTGGACCATATAAAATACTTGAAAAAATAGGCGAAGTAGCTTATCGACTGGATTTACCTGATTCTTCGAGACTCCACCCTGTCTTTCATGTAAGCCTTCTGAAGAGATTCATCGGGGATTCATCAGTGACTGCTACAGATCCTCCTGTCATAGACGAAGATGGTCAGTTGCAAATAAAACCCTTGAAAATAGTGGGAAGACGAATCGTAAATAGACATGGAAGACCAATTACTCAGCTTTTGGTTCGATGGCAAAACTTGAATGAATCGAATGACACTTGGGAAGATTACTCATTTCTGCGTAGCCAGTTTCCTGCGTTTGATCCTTGGGGACAAGGCTTGTCTCGAGGGGCGGGTATTGTTATAGTTGGAGAAGAAAACGAAGAACGAAGGGGTGAGAGAGATTTGGGAATGGAGACAGGAGGGTTAGGGATTCTGGAGAAAGATGGGTTAGGGATTCGAGAGAGTAATTGGGGATTGAAATCAGAAAAGGTATTGGAAAGACAAAGGGAATTAGAGATGGACTTATCTGATGAAGTGGAGGCGGGCCAGGGGAGTTTGAAATGACATGGAGCAGCCCAGTCAATTGGCCCAATACCTGATCAGCACAAGGAATCTGTTTTTTAAGCATTCAGTTATTTAGATTGCCAGCTGGCATTACTAGATTTGCCATACGGGTTTGTAAATAAATAATACCTCTTGTAGAGCACATTTTCTTTCTATGTTTTGAATGAATGAGAATTTCCTTTCTGTAATTCTTTTCTTCTTCTTCTACAATCTTTCTCTTCGATAATTTCTTCTCTTTTATCCTCGGTCTACAACACTATCTCAAGTACATTTTTCAATTTCCTTGTAGTTATTGTATGATCTAAAGATTTTAACATTTGTTCTTCCCTTTATCTTTCCATCTGCTTGGGTTAGAGGAACTTCTGATTTATGTTTTTTTTTTGGTTTAATATTTTAGGTAATTCATTAAATCAAATTTAGATCAACTTTTGCTCTAATAATAGAGTTAACTAAGTGTATAATAATTTGGGGACATGAAATCAATTGTGAATACTGTATGATAATTTGTAGTGGTCTTTTGTGCTGAAAATTATAGCAAGTTAATGAGCAACGTTTTCTGGAATGTTTAGGCATTTTAAGTGATGATTCATATATCCATGTTTTATGCTTTTCGTCAAAAGGTTCTTGATGGGGGATGAAGTAGCAAGGACATATGTAATATATGCTTTGCTTCTTGCAATGAGCATTTTAGGGAAAAACAGGTTAGGTTCGAGGCTTTTGACATATGCTTGGGAAAATGAAGGTTGGATTTTGAACCAAACTGGCTAAGACTTGGAGTTGTACAAAATAGTGGAAGAACATGATCTAGCAGTATACCAATTCTCAACAAAATTGAGGATTGGCACACTGAAAATTATAATCATCTATTAACACTTCAATTTTATTAAATTTTTAAGCGTAAAGAAATGCCCACAGTTGAATTTCTAAGGCACAGTATTTGTTTTTGACTTAATATGCTTGGAATCAACGGTCTGTGGTCATCAAATGTTCCCTATATCTTCTGTTGGCCATTTCCTCTCATTCTGTCGGCTTTAATTTCATGAACTAAAGTCGAAACCTTTGGATATCACCTTATGAAAATGCTTTTATCCTTATGATATAGAATCTCATCAACTTAAAGCTATTTTATTGATTGAGGCAATGCATTATTGTATAGTTGAAGCTGTATTGCCTTTGTACTTGAAATAATTACATTCATTTTTATCATTTCAACTGAAGACTTTTTATTAATATAAGCAACTTAAAACTATTCTTCTTTTTTATAATACATATACATTCTTCTTCATTAATTGTCCTGGATCACAGAAACCATGCTAGTTTCAATAATGCCTATCCACAAACACTCATTTGTTGAATACTGAAACAGGTTGTCAATAGGTTAATCCAGATTATCCAACATTTAAAAGGTAAATACTAAATGGTAAATGATTAACAACCCCTTAAAAGTTTTTTAAAATGATATATTTATTTCAAATCTTTGTGTCATAATATCATTTGTCCAAGAAATATTAAACAGAAGTCTAAAGTCCATACGAAATTATGGTCAGTAGCATTGTTCCAAATTCTCTTATTAGTAAACCATTATATTGTGACCCTCCAGCTGGTTATAGTGTGTCATTCTTATTTCCCTTGTCTCAGAAACCATTTCTATGTCATATTAATATTTTTTGCACATGTTCTACATCAGATTATTATTGTTGTTCTTCAATTTATGTGTTTTCTTTTTCTTGTTGCCATTGCCTGTAGGTTGATGTTGAGGAAGTGCGGTACGTCGTTAAAGAGTTGTGGCATGGGAGAAGTGCAAGAGAACTATCTGCAAAAGATGTGGGTCGTGGCATGTGGCGATCTGTTAACGAGTTGATGCTTGTTTGGTATGGTTTGCTTCATGCTGTATAACTTGGAGCATTTGGCTTTCACAATTTTTTGGGTATAATTGCATAGGATCATCATGCTTTTTCTGATATCGAGGATATTACAAGTGTTTTTTATGTTGTTTATGTGTTATGGTCTGGGAATATCCTGAAACTCGTCTTATTTTTTATTTTTGGTATTGTTGAATTATGGTGATTTATTGTAGTCCAATAGTACTTTTATACTTTCCTGTAAAGCTCCCCCCAGTGAGGGTGAAATTGCAAAAAGGTGCTCTGTCCAAACAACTAGAGGACTGTAACTCTGTGGAATCTTATCATGTACTATAATATGAGTATTGGGAATTCTGTCTCCCTTGGATTCTCTTATTTTTGTTTTTATTTGTCCTCTTACAGTAAAAACCGGAAACAGGGGACTTTACCTTGTATAGAGCTAGTATCATTTTATATATGTATATGTATATTGTTTCAATCCTAGTGGGGGCAGTTGCCCTCACTAATTCAATGATGGATACATCCACGCTAATTACACATTGGACAACAATTTTGTTATGTAGTGCATGGATAACATTTTAAGCTCATTTTTAGAGGAAATTGCATCAGTCTTCCCGCCATGAACTTTGACCAGAGCCATTTCTTTTGCCGCGTCACTCGTCCATTTCCAGCCATCTTGCAGTTGTACATGTTCAAGCCTAAGTGTAGCCTATTGATTGGTTCATAGCCTTTGCTTGCACTTTTTATCTACTTAGAGCACAATATCTGTTGCTTAAGCTGTGTTATAAATATATGGAGGTTAGGAATTGAAATCATACTTGCCTTATACGTCTATGGTGATATTTTATGTACCTTTAACGTATTACTATCCATTATTCATTTCAGATGGGATCAGGCAAAGCCAGCATCTGTATCAAATTTAGTTCTTTTAAAATTTAAAGAGGTAATAGTCTTAGGAAAGACATTGTCTTTCTCACTTAATACTATACTTTTCCAAGTATTATGAATTCTTTATGCATAAGTATTTTACTTTTCAAAGTATTAGGAAGAAGGAAAGTGAACAATCATGTCTTAGTTCTCGCTAAATCACCAGATGATTGATAAACGAACTCTTTGATAGAACAACTAATGTCTAATTTACTTTAATTTAGTCACTGTGGAATGAGCTTATTGCTGTTTTCATATTTTGATGCGATATTTGTTTTTTGAAGGCTGATGAACATGAGCAGAGGCGTCTTGATGATATCAAAGAAAACGAACCAGAATTTTTCAACAGGGTGACATCCATGCTGAAGAGAGCCGAACATGACTTTGGCTTGTAACTTGACGCAATCAGTTGAGTGGTTAATTTCTCTCTGACTGTTCTTTATCCTTAGATGATGGTGTTCACATACCAACTTATGAGCCATTGTGTCATGTAGAAGGATAGGAACTCAATGGCGGGTGTAAAACATTCATCAAACGATGCAACTTTTGTTCGTTTTATGACAAGTCTTTTACTTCTACTCTTTTACGTTAAATGTGTTGGTTCAAGTACGCATCTTTAGCTAAGCTTCTTCCTTAGGGGGGCTAACTGAAGTGAATAATCTGCAAAACTTATTGTAGAACATGTTATTCTTAGTGCTTTTATTTCTTTTGCTTGCTCCCTTTGCATAACTCGCAATTTATGTTTAAACTATTTTGTGTTCTCGGTCAGGAGGTCATATCAGGTGGCTTCAAGCAATTTTTTGTTTAATCTGCTGCATTAATTAACTTCATTTGATCTAAAAATGCATTCAAAATCTGAAGGGAAAAACATAAAAGAATTACATGGATTGATTGATTGGTTGAAACTCCCCTTTTCTTGTGGGTTAAATTGTCTCCAAAATTAGGCAGAAGTTGGTCATTTTCAAGGAGAAATCAAGGCTTTGGTATACCACTTTAGATGCAAAATTTAATGATTACAGCAAATATTCTGTTATAAAGAAAGTGAAAAACAAGTAAACGTAGAGGGAATTAAGAGCAAAGATATCGAGGCTGCCCTATCTTTGCAAATTCTCTCATTCTATTGACTTTTTGGTCTCTGCCGCAGCCTCCGCCATCAGTAAATCTGAACACATCTTGCGTGGCTGATGAAAGCTTGAAATGGTTTCCTGAATCACAGTTCCAAAGTTGCTCAAATTTTTTTGGTGATTATATATTATTCTCTCTTTTCTTTTTCCTCTGCAGAGTGTAGAGACAAATTCGAGATCTCTAAAAGGGAATGAAAAAATAAATCATTGTTCGTCAGACAAAACTTAATCAAATACCTTTAAGATGCTGAGCAGTTTTTTGTACAAAATTTTCATGTTATTGCAAGAAAAAATCAACAATAAACATAATATATGCAGAGAGCTTTACCTGAAAGAACCAGATGCCGATGCAATATTGATTTCAAAACTTGATCTCATTCTGCCTATTAGCAGGTGCGACACACTGCCATAAGGATCGGTATGTCAGACACATTATATCCAGATATCTGAGCTCGCCCCAGCCCGTCTTTGTGCACCTTGCCTTAATCTTTGAAGTGAAGGCTCTGTCTTCCGTGCCTGTACAAGATAATTTAGAGGTTTTATTCAAAGCATATTTAATATCAAGAGAAAAAAACCAGGGAAAGAAATTGTTTGTGATACTAACCACACTGACGAGGTCAGCAGCTATTCATAAGCGAGTAGTTATGTCTGTTGCAGTACCTAGCAGTACATTATTCCTCGCATTGCTTGTCAAATACTTTGTAGCTTGTTCACCGTCCAGGAAAGTCTGAAAGCATTGAAAAATGCCGACTAAGCAAAGTAATATCCACTGATTGCCACAGTGTGCAGCAGAAAGCAAACACTTTACGTAAAAGTATAAAACATGTTCTTCACGGAAAATACATGCCAAAGAAGTAAATAACCTGGACTGCAGCTAAACTTGTTATATATCTAAGCAAAAAATATATATATATTTTCTATCAGATTTTGTATTTCAATTTTATGTTCCTTGGATTGTTTTCTTTTCTTTAAGTAAAAAAGGTGGAGAAAGGGTGTGTGTCTTGACGGAAATATTAAAAGATTGCATACCTTCAATGGGCGCAATACTCCTGCCACATAAGGTGAATGTCTGACAGGAAGAGGTTTGTTTGTCATCCTATAAGTTGCAGTTATACCCTTCAGCTGTCTCAAGTCCTGTGGAATTTAAGATAAACAAAGAATGAACAAAAATTTCCCGAGTATAATGAAATTGCAAGACAAAAAGAAAAAACAATTGAACCCATAAAGCTTGTCACAGTCATTTCATAGCACATGGTGACTCAAGGCGCTAGACAAAAAAGAAATCTGCTCATAGTGGTGAGGCACAATGTGGAAGTGTGTAAAAAATACACTTAAGGTACATGATTTTGTTAATAAACTCAAAGGGTTTCAGAAATCCAACCAAATATGCAAAAAATATTTTTTCAGAGTTTTATTTTTGGCTAATATGCATGATTTGTCTATGATATCAAGTATGTTTTTATATTGAGGAGTATGGAGTTTGATATTATACTCATTTTACTATTATGTACGGCTAATGAAAAATAAAATAAAAACAAACGCAAGAGAATTTCAGTTATATGATCTCCTTTTGCATTTATTGGGTATGAGACGCATTCGTTGTTTGGCAGCTTAGCACCTAGGCACACGCCTTAACAACACTTGTGCAAAAAAGTTAAATGCTAACATTGTAATGCTTACCTCAACAGACTTCTGAACTAAAGCCTCTTTAATTGTGTTGATAACTAAGGGTAACAAATCATCCAATGATTTTCCACAGTACAAAATGCTCTGCTTTACGAGGTCAAGGACTTCAGCAGAACATGAAGATAGAACATGAAGTACATGATCAAGGTAAGAACAAGAAATCTCCTTGGAGATACAATTTATGTCATGAATAACCTGCAAGCACGACATATGCTCAAAAGTCTGGATAAACAGTAGTCAAGTCTACATTATATATTTATATGGTGCTCGACTTGGAGAATGAAAGTAACCTATAAGTAGAATTCAAAAATGAAAAAGAAATAGATGATAGAATCTTTAAAGTCCCATCAACAGTAAGGTACATAAACTCAGCAGATTGAACTTTGGGGGCTGAAAATGATAGGTCTAAAGCAGTTGCATAACCACATTACTTATTTTCCCACATTTTAATAATGAAATTTAGGTATATATTTTAAAGTATAAGAAAGTATAATTACCAGTTCTAATTTCTTTCTAGATCTTTCTAGATTAGAAATAATCAAGTGGAAAGTGGAGAAATAATAATTTCTCCATATTTATCTCCCCATTCAGGTACCCAAACAAAAATAATTCTTAGTTCTTCCTTCAATTCTCTAAATTTTAAATTTCAAAACTCAAACATAAGAACACCATTGATTAAACCTCTATGTGTTAAATAAGGCTCAGTGAATTTAAGTTGGAAACATAATAGAATAAAGACATGGGCGTACATAAACAAAATCATCTGAAGCAGCTGAAAGAGCCCACTCACATCCAGGGTTGGAGCCAGCACTACCCTTCTTCCGTGCAGCCAATCCAGAGGACAACCAATTTGAGTATCTATCACACACAAAATACAATCAGATGATGATAGCCGGTGTATCTATACTACTCAAAACTATTTGATCTGAGGAATGACCTTGAGAGAAGCTGCAGGGACAAGCGAAGAAACTTGTCAGAACAAGAAAGGACAAGAACTTCTTCATTCCAGCAGGATCTCAAGCTATCCAAAAGAGTAACACTTTGTTTAAGTGTTAAGTTCTGAGAATATTCTTCACCAGAACCAGAATTTTGGGCAAGAACAATACTAGGTGCTGCAAGTGCAGAGTCCAGAGCACCTGCTATTTCTTGAAACCTGAAGCAGTTGAAAACAAAAGCAGTTCATATCCAAGTAATAATACAATATTGTATTAATAAACATCAAATAGATCCACTCAATACCTTAACGAGAAATAAACACCAACATTCCACTGCTTCATGAATTCAACATAAAAAGGCGCTGCACGAAATTTGGCAACAGCAGCTCTGGTTGGGCAATAGCCTGAAAATGGAAAATTCTTTTTATACAATAATAAAATGGACTAAAGTTTAGACACTCTAATTCTTTACCAAAGTAGACTTTGTGAATTTTTTAGTCTTAGATGGAAAACAAAATGCGACACAGGATCAAGGATCGCCTTATAATTGAGAGTGACTGCAGAGTGGCCGTCAACTGGGTCAAGGACCCAGTTTCTTGTCCTGTCGTTTATGCTCACGTTGTTAAGGATATTATTGGGAAACTTAGAGATTTTGAAGGTGTTATTAGATGGGTTAATAGGGCAGCTAATCTAGAGGCTGATACTCTAGCCAAAGCTGGTATTGGTTGATTTGTTTTTGTTGTTTTTAAGGTCTGTTTGGTTAGTTTGCCGACCTCCTTAAAGGAGTTCAGGGTATTGTATTCCTATGTTTTCTTTTATTAATGAAATTCAAGGTACTCTGATCCTCCTTTTGATGTTTAAGGAACTCTTTCCGAGTTTCCGTAAATCATGAAGGGGGTTTCAAATGAGTCCTACTATTCCTATCAAAAAAAATGTCAGAGGGCTACCTTCAAGATAAGCCAAGAAATCTAGGCTTGATTTGTAGTTTTTGAGGAATTCCTTAGGTCTTCCTGGAGAAAATGCACCAGGCTTTCCCTTTTGGATGGCTTCTAAGACCTCCTTCAGAATTGAATTTGCCAAGAACTCAAATACATGTAATCCTGAATTTTCTGGAAAAAAAAAACATAACAAAACTTCAACAGCCTTTACATTTAGCAAACTGAAGTTAGGTATACAAAGACCATGAGAAGACGGATATCATGCACCAAATGGACAAAGGGTTTTAACAACTCTGGTTTCTATATTCAACAAGCTCAAAACATATTCTTGTCAGGACACAACCATGCCTAGCACCAAATTCAATATAAATGATAATAAAGACACAATGAAAAACTAGATAAAGTCACAGTATTAATAGGATTGATATGGGTAAAAACAAGCATATATGTACCCGCAGAAGCAATTTCCAGGAAGAACTTAAAATCCTTCTCAATAAGCTTTTTAATTTGTCCATAATCATTCTCAAGTTCATCTCCAGATGCCCCAGCAACAACTCCAGAAGATCCATGTGGAATAACATTTTGCATCAATGGAGCCACAATGGTTGTGCGAAAAATTTCTTCTGCATTACCAGTGTTATCAATAGCAGCATAAGCACGTAAGCAATTATAAATTGCAGTGACATCCCTGTGTTCCAGCCCATCAACAAAACAGTGTCCCAAGCCTGCATTTAACAGTTGGCTAGCACTGAGAATCCTCTTCTCAATGTTCTGAACGAAAGGCAGGTTCTGCATTTGCATAATATAGAAAACAGATATTCTATGAATTTCTACATCCAAATTGGTCACATCATTCCGAGGTACATATCCATAATGCATATGATACAGATTTTAGTAAAATCATTTTAGTGTTAGTCACCGAGAGCAAAATTACCATAATTGTCAACCATTCTTATAAGTTGTGAGATTTGATATGAATTCTATGTTTATAGTTGATATGAGGCCTATATACATGCTACATGATGCTTAAAAAACATTTGACTCATGAGTTTATTAATGAAGAGGTTAACAGTTCACACTGCATTTACGCAAATGCATCCTTCGAAATTGCCATGACCTGATGGTATGAATTAAATGTTTTACAAAAATATTGGCATGCTGTTAATGGTGATGTTACCTAAGTAGTTCTGGATTTTCTAAAGAAAAGTGATTTTGATGATGTGATTAACCTTACTAAATAGTGCTAGTTTTTTAACTGTAAGAATCTGGAGAGGATGTGGGACTCTAAACCAATAAGTTTTTTGCAATGTTCTTCAAAAAACTTATATCTGAACTGGCAGTATATTGACTCTTAAGCACATTCTTCTTGCTATGATATAGATAATCAGAGAATAAGTTACTTTGTAACAAATTTCCATTATTATAAATACAATCAATATAAAAGTGAATTCAGAAAACAAATGCAAAAGGAAATTACATAATTAGATGGGAAATATTTCAGCAGTTACAACATAAAATTTGAGACTGAAAAGAAAGAGAGGTACCTGTGCATGGGCAATATAAAAGTTGAGGCGATTCATCTCACTGGCAATTCTCTCAAGAAGCATGCTTTGGGTCTCTCTGATATTTGCTGTTCCATTCTCAACATGCGAGTTCAAAGCATTACTCTTTTGAATTGAATCAACATCTCCATTCGACAAATCTGAAGACGCGCTAGGAAGCTCCTTTATAAGCTTTTCAACCTAATAAAGGAGTTGGTTTACATCAAAACTATTAGAAACTGAAATGGAAGTGGATCATCAAGTGTACAACTGCAATTACCTTGGAAACAACATGAAAAGTGTCGAGCAGCAGCTCCAGCACCTCTCTGGCAGCAGTAGCCTCAGCCCGTTGGCTCAGTCCATTCTTCAAAGAGGTTAGTGAGCTCTCAACAGCTCCCCTAAAGCCTTGGATCTTGTCACGGATCTCAAGAAGTGGAGCACGCATACGAAGCACTGCAGAATCCACATCGACCAGTTTGGTGGAGAGGTTTACAAAGTCGGCGTAATCGCGGTTGATGAGATCAATGAGTTCATGGTTGAGAGATGAGAGATGAGCCTGGAATTCAGATCGTAGGGTGTCAAATGGAACAAAGGTTCGGAGCTCCGCAATGTACGATTCAGAGTTGAAGTCAGGGGAAAGGAAGAGAGAGGGCTTTAACCACATTGGGTGAGAGTCAAGCGGGTCGGAGAACAGATCCGTGGCGGATCTTGGGGCTGGAGATGGTATTTGATCCGGCATTTTGACACTTCGAATGGAATTCAAGTCCAAATCAGATTTGAATTATAACAATTCCTATACTGCAAGCAGACATATTGCCATAAATAAACGAAAAAAAAATCAATATGCACCCGAAGTGATATTGTATTTTATCATTCAAACTCAATTACTGAAAAATCAATAAACATGCGAAATAAACGATGCTCCAGATATAAACTTGAATGAATTACTTGGAAAATGAAGCAAAATTCTAACAAAATAAAAATCTATAGATTAATAGGAAGAAAAAGGACAAGCTGACCTATACGACGTCGTGAGCAGGATGAATCTGAAAGGCAAAGCGTCGGATTAAAACAAATGAATGGTAAAAACAAGAAGCAAAGAAAGGGAGGAGGCCACTGCCGGTTGAAGTACAGCAGCAAGAGGAGGCGTCAGTAAAGGGGAGAGGAGGGACTCCTTAGGCAAGAAGAAAACAATCGAGGCAGATCCAGAGGCCAACGACGTAGTTTTATTTGAAAACTGGAAAATGATCATTTCGTCGATTTTAAGTGGCACAAAGTTACATGTCTATTAAAAAATTTGATATTGCATTTAAAATCATTTAAATTTTGTTTATTAAAATTTTGGGTAAATTACTTATAAATTATATGGTCGGTTTTATTTTAATCATTAAATAAAAAATATTAATTAGTTCACCAAGGTTCAGTGTTTTGGTCTTAATCAAGTTATTGACCCTTAAAAAATATTAAAAATAATGTAATTTGATGTAATAATAATTTTATTTTAAAAAAATCATGTTTCGATTATAATGTCATGATCACGAGAGATACAAAAATCGGAGGAGGAAGAAAATTGGGGATCAAAGAGAAGGGGTTAGGGATTGTATATAAAGATTTGGGGATTTTTACTTACTCTGATAGTGAAGAGGTCAGAAGTAATTACAAGGGGACTAGCATGGATTACTCTTCTTCTATTTTTTTCGATTATTGTTCTTCTCTTATTGGGTCATAACATATAATTCCTTGAATTTCTCCTATATTTCATTGTGAATGATAATAAAGGAAAATGAGAGAAACATTTTGTTGAAAAATGAGAAAATGGAAATCACAAAGAAAATGAACAAAACTTATAAATTTAATCTAGCACAAGTTTAAAAAGATGAATTGAATGGAGGAGGGAGGAGGGAGGAGGGAGGAGGGAGGAGGGAAGGAAAATGAAAAATAATATACACAATAATATTATTATAAATATATTATATAATATGATAAGTAGATTCATTTACATTCTAAATTTGATCTTGACATATGTTTTGATTAAGTAAAATATTTAAATATTTTGTTCAGGTCTAAAGATAATTGTCAAAGATGATGGAAATAAAATAAATTTGATTTTTATTAAATGTTAATGTAAAAATATTTTTTACAATTTATTTAACTTTAAAGTAGTAAAATGAGCCCCAATGAAGTTTCCGAGGCAGTGGGCCAGCCCAACACCATACTTTGAATATTAAAACGGAAAATAATGGATTGTACTCTCCATAAATAAATAATCACGGCTTTTCCAGCAAAGCCGACAGATAAACCTCCCTAAGCTCCGCTCCCCTATCGAGCTTCCGTTCGACCACCCACTTCAACTTTTTGAATCCAACGCTCCGAAAAAACGGCGCGTACACCTCCTCCAATTGATCGCCTTCGCAAAAGAAATGATCCACCCAGAACAAACCTCCCGGCATTAACACCCTGTAAACATCAAGAAATTGAGCACCGTCATCGGAACCCAGTTGCTCAAAACATGCATCGAGTGAACTATATCCAACGTGTTATCGAAAAATGACAGTCTCTGCGATATGCTCATGTGGACAACCCCTCTTGAAGCAATGAAACTATTGAACGGACCGTTTAAGTTCATCGAAGTTGTGACGATGGTTACGTTTCTTTCCATCAATTTCACGACGAAAGTCGCCACCCCGCCCCCGATATCGATTCCTATTCGGATTGTACACGGTTTTCTCGTTACTAGCACTTCTCGATGGAGAAGTTAAGCTCGCTGTCGGGTGTCGTCCAACGAGTTCTCTCGCGACCTTTTATATCAAAGCAGTCTTTGCAATCGTCAAAGCCCTTTTGTTTCTTTCGATTAATCAAACAAGTGTAGTTCTTACAAGAGTAAGCTGTCCATACGACTGATGAATCGAGTGGCGTTATCCATAGGCTGAGTGGAAGCGGATGAGGTTCGGGGTATCAAGGAGGAGCATGTTGGAAACTAAACACTCACATAAACAACTTTTATTGAAACTCAAACAAATATTACAAGAGCATTCTCACTCAAAAACAAGATACTGCAACTCACTCTTATAAGACTTTGCTTCTTCACTCACTTAGAAGCTTTTAATTTTTCTTGATGCTTAAACTAAAATGGGGAGGGGTATTTATACTACTTAAGAAAAATCCTACACCACACAAATAAACTAATTTAAACAATTAAAAAATAGAGAAATACCTAACTCTCACATAACTGAATTGATGTAAGCAATGACATCTTCACCTAATTGATGTAAATAATGACATCAATTTAGTTTGGGTGTGGGTTTAGGCTCTCATAATGGATCACATTTATGATCCAACACCCCCTTAAACTTGATCTTGTGACCCCTTGTAAGTTCCTTAATCTTATGAAGTCTTCGCTTGTCAGTGGCTTGGTAAAAATATCAGCAACTTGATCTTGTGACTTCACGTATTCAACTTCCACATCATTTCTTGCAACACACTCCCTTATATAGTGATAGCGAATATCAATGTGCTTGCTTCGATCATGGAATATTGTATTCTTTGCTAAGGAAATGGCTGACTTGTTGTTGACACAAACCTTGGTAGGCTCTTCTTATATCAAACCTATCTCCTTCAATAGATTTCTAAGCCAAAATGCATGACAAACTCATGAGATAGCAGCAACATATTTCGCTTCACAAGTGGATAATATGACAATCGGTTGTTTCTTTGACATCCATGTGAAAGCAGTATCTCCCATGAAAAATAAAAATCCAGTAGTGCTCCTTCGATTATCTATGTCTTCACCCCAATCACTGTCGCTATATCCAACAAGCTTGTAATCATTAGAAACTGAATAGAACAAGCCAGAGTCAATTGTACCTTTTAGATAGTGAAGAATTCTCTTTTTAACTTTAAAATGGGTAGTTGTTAGAGATTCCATGTAGCGACTAATCAATCCAAATGCGTGAAGAATATCGAGCCTCGTACAAGTTAGATAGCGTAGACTTTCCACCAAACTTTTGAAGAATGTTGGATCTATGCTTTCGCCTTCTTCATGTTTGGACATCTTGATCTCGTATTCTTTCGGTGTGCTTATTGGCTTACAGTTCTCCATCTTGAACTTCTTCAGGATCTCCTTTACATAGATTTCCTGTGAAATGAAAATTCCATCTTTTTGTTGCTTAACTTCAATGCCAAGGTAGTACGCCATGAGCCACATGTCTGTCATCTTGAATTCTTTCATCATCACATCCTTAAATTATTAAACATGCTTGGGTTGCTTCCGGTGAAGATCAAGTTGTCCACGTAGAGGCACACGATCAAAATATCTTCATCTTTGATCTTGATATATAGAGTGTGCTCGTAGGGAAATTTGTTGAAGCCATTCTCTTGGAAGTACTTGTCTATTCGGCTATTCCATACCCTTGGTGCTTGTTTTAGCCCGTAAAGAGTCTTCTTCAACTTCAATACCTTGTCTTCGTGCACTTTGACTTCGTAGCCTGATGGTTGTTGAATGTAGACTTCCTCTTCAAGAACTCCATTTAGGAAGGCAGACTTTACATCCATCTGCTGTATCTTCCACTTATTTTGAGCTACCAAAGAAATGATTACTTTGATAGTCTCCAATCGAGCAACAGGAGCAAATACCTCATCATAGTCAATTTCAGCCTTTTGACAATAGCCTTTAGCAACTAGCCTTGCCTTGTGTTTTTCAATCACTCCTTTGGCGTTTTGCTTTATTTTGTACACCCATTTGATACCTATCACCTTATGTCCCTTGGAAAGTGAGGTAAGTTCCCATGTGTCATTCTTCTCGATAGCTTTGATTTCTTCGTCCATCGCCTCTCTCCATTTCTTTTTTTTGTACTGCTCCTTGAAAGCTCACTGGTTCACAATCGACAAACAGACAAAATAATGTAAGAATATCTTGTCGTTAAGTTACCTCATAGAGATCTCTAAAGCTTCTTGTACGTTACACAACTCTTTCACTTTGACTTCCACTTGACGACGAAGAAGGTGATGAGTCTCCTTGAGTGGTTGATGTTGGTGAAGTGGGCAGAGTTTCAAGCTCTTGTTGAGGTCCTTTTTAAGGTTCACCTAGTTGTTCCCTCATTGTCTGTTCATTTTCTTCAAACTGAGGAAAGAAATTTAACTCATCTGCATGAGAGTTAAAATCCCATTCTCCTTCTTCGTTGAAGACCACATATCGACTAATCATAATCTTCTTATTGTATGGATTGTACAGCTTGTAGATTTTCGAATTAGCATCATAGCCGATGAAGATAAAACTCTCACTTTTATCATCAAGCTTAGTTCTTCTCTCGTCTGGTACGTGAACATGGGCTATACTTCCATAGATTCTCAAGTGGGAAATGCTAGGCTTTCTTCCACTCCATGCCTCTTGCGGTGTCTTACCCATACACTTCTTGTTGGAGATCAGTTTATCAAGTAGACTGCACACGCTACTACTTCCGTCCAAAATTCTTTGGGTAGTTTCTTTCTTTTGAGCATGCTTCGTGCCATGTCAAGGATTGTTCTGTTCTTCCTTTCTACCACACCATTTCACTGGGGGGATCTAGGAACTGTCATTGGTCGACGAATTCAATTTGCTTCACATAACTCTTGAAACTCCTGGAAGTAAATTCTCTACCTCGGTCGGATCTCATGGCTTTGATCTTTCTACCGCTTTCTCTCTCCACTGCTTTGAACTTCTTGAAGACTTTGAAAACTTTTGACTTCTGTTTCAAAAAATAAACCCAGGTTTTTCTTGAAAAATCATTAATGAAGAGAAGAAAATAGTTACTATTACTGAGAGAGCTTGGCTTGATCGGTCCACACACATCGGTATGGATGAGCTCAAGTGGCTTTTTGGCTCTTGTCTCTGACTCTTTTGGAAATTTTTTCCTGAATTATTTTCCGACTAGACACCCTTCAAAAAGTTGGTCAATATGGTTGATGTGAGGTAGCCCCTTCACCATCTCCTTCTTAGATAGCAACTCTAGACCTCCAAATTTGAGATGTCCAAATCGAAGATGCCAAAGTCATGATGCATCTTTGTAACAAGCTTTCAGGCACTTTGCAACATCATTTTCTATGTTGATCAAGAATATTCTATTCTTTGTCATCAACACTTTAGCAATGAAGTTATTCTTATTATCTTTT